TGGGACCAGTCGGTACCGAGTAGGAGCTGGCCACCTGGGGACTATGCACAGGGACCATTCTGCACCAGGAGGAGCACCAGGGTGAGGCCAAAGCTGAGTGTGGACAGGCTTTGGTCAGGTGCCTACCTGGGGTAAGGCCTACCTGGAGCATGACTGCGTGTGTGCACCAGTTCCCCTGTCCCTTGTAGGTGCTTCCTGCCACCTTGGATTTTTCCTTGCTTTGCAAATCTCTCTGGGGCCCTCTCCTGCTTTAAGAAGCACCCTGAGGCCTATCCTCTCTGAGCCTTCCCCACCCATTGGTTCTCAGTATCTTGCTTTGTAAGATACTGCCATGGAGATCTGGCCAGAGCCCAGCATTACCTTTTCCTCAATCCCATCCACACTCTGGAATCTGGTGGGAGGGTCCATAAGTAACAGCAAGGGGCCTGAGGGGACACCTGGTAGGTGATAGGGGTTCCAGAAAGTCAGTATGGAAGAGCAGCAGCTCCCCTTAGCTCTGTTGAATGTGCCTCTGGTCTCACCATTGAGTTCCTACATGGACTCCTCTGAGAAGTCCTCCAGAGTGCTGTTGGTAGCCCCAGTACAAAAGGCTGGGATAGTCCAGTCCCTTCCCCATTCTGACACAGAAGGAAGCAAGGGCAGATGGCAGGGCATGAGCATTTTTTTTTTTTGCATTTTAAAACTATGATTTTGGCTCGGCACCTGTGGCTCAAGTGGCTAAGGCACCAGCCACATATACCTAAGGTGGTGGGTTTGAATCCAGCCCGGGCCCGCCAAAACAACAATGACAGCTGCAACCAAAAAATAGCTGGGCATTGTGGCAGGGGCCTGTGGTCCCAGCTACTTGGGAGGCTGAGGCAAGAGACTCACTTGAGCCCAGGAGTTGGAGGTTGCTGTGAGCTGTGATGCCAGGGCACTCTACCCAGGGGGATAGCTTGAGGCTCTGTCTTAAAAAAAAAAAAAAAAAACTATGATTTTGTTTTTATTGTTATTATTGTTTTATTAAATCATAGCTGTGTACATTACAGCAATTATGGGGTACAATGTGCTGGTACGGCATGAGATTTAATGAGCAAGGCTTTACCTGCTCCATCCCAGCATGGCACCTAGGCCTCCTGGGTCTTAGTCCTATGAATGGGCAGCCTGCTGGCATGCAGGGCCTGCTCACCACTGCCCATGGTCCAGAGTTGGCCAGAGGGGGGCCCCAGCATGCCCTGCCCATGGCTTATTGAGATCAGCCTGGCCACAGTTGCTGTACCACCAGCCCATGCCTGAATGATCAAAGCTGCAGCAGGTGAAGATGTGGGCGCTGTCCATGCAGAGTATGCAGCCGCATTTAAGTGACTGCCTTCCTGGCTGTCACTGTGGCCCAAGCCCTGGAATGCATCCCTTGCATAGTGTGGGTGGTGGGCTCAGCAGCCCCTCACACCATCCATACCGCTATGGCTCCTCAGATGGAAACTGCCTCAGCATATGGGACACCCAGGGCAGGTTCTTGGAGAGCAACAGCCTTTCCCAGAGTTAAGGCTGAGAAAGTCAGGGGTCTCGGCTCCCAATATCCTCTCCCCCTTCTTGCCTCCTTTTTGCACCTCCACTCACATCCTATTACAGCATCTTAGGAAGGGAGAGCCCCTGCCCTCCCAGGAACTCACCAGCATCACCTGAGTACAGACCCAGGGTCAGCCAGTAAAACTGGGCCTCCTTGTTGACATGGATCTGAGGTTGTCCAAGTCCCCCAAGTCTATGCTTAGTTTTGTCTGCAGGTCCAGCTGCAGGTCAGGTCTGAGATGTGCCCCAGCCTCAGCCAGTGGTCACCTACAGGAGTGGGCACTGGGCTCAGGCCTGCACCCACCCCTGGCTGCACCTCCCTGTTTTTGCTTGATTTGTTCTAGATACCTGCCCCCTTCCATGCCCCAGCCCTGTGTTCCTAAAGGGCTCAAAGGTACAGCCCTGTGCCCTGTGGGTGGCACTGCCTCCTACCTTCCAAGTTTCTGAAGCTCTACTTGTACTTCTGCCAGCACCTCTCAAAGTTCAGGGGCTTCTCCTTGCCCCAGTCTTGACTCAATCACTGTCCAGCCACTGTCCTCATGCATGTCACACAGAACCTGGCATGGACAGAGGTAGTCACTGTCCTTGGCCCATCCACATAAGCCTGCCCTTCCTTCTCCCTTCAGAGAGGACATCATCATTCCCCTAAGCACTTTTTATTTTTTTTGAGACAGAGCCTCAAGCTGTCGCCCTGGGTAGAGTGCTGTGGCATCACAGCTCATAGCAACCTCCAACTCTTGGGTTTAAGTGATTCTCTTGCCTCAGCCTCCCAAGTAGCTGGGGCTGCCACAAAGCCTGGCTATTTTTTTTTTTTTTGGTTGCAGCTATCATTGTTTGGCGGGCTCGGGCTGTATTCGAACCCGCCAGCTCTGGTGTATATAGCCAGTGCTTTAGCCACTTGAACTACAGGTGCCAAGCCTAAGCATTTTTTAATTTGAAAAATGCACACTGTAGTTTTTTTTTTTTTTTTTTTTTTTCAGTTTCACTTAATGCTTGATGAAACAGCAAGATTTATTTTTTTTTTTTTTTTTTTTTTTTTGCTTATCAATACAGTACAAGCATGTATTATAACAGAAATTCAAACTTTAAGGTATGGGATGAAGACCTATGGTACAGCACAGGACAGCTGTGCTGCTCTCTAACCTTCACTCGTATCCTGGGCAGCTTCCCCGCTAGTCTTCAGAGTCCTTTCTTATTTGTGAAAACAGCTGTACCCTGACTTCTCTGCTCATTCCCATAGGGGTGGACACCTAGGTCTCCCCAACCCCTCCATTAAGAACAGTGCTCATTGTTGAGGCTCACACCTGTAATCCCAGCACTCTGGAAGGCCAAGGCAGATGGATCACCTGAGCTCAGGTGTTCGAGATCAGCCTGAGCAACAGCTATCTCTACTAAAAATGGAAAAACTAACTGGATGTTGTGGTGGGCACCTATAGTCCTAGCTATTCGGGAGGCTGAGGCAAGAGGATTGTTTGAGCCCAAGGTTTGAGGTTGAGGTGACATGATGCCAAGGCACTTTACCCAAGGTGACAAAGTGAAACTGTCTAAAAAAACTAACCAAACAGCACTCAGCAAACACCTCTGTGGCCAAGTGTGTGTGGGGAGAGGCTCATGAAGGAAGTCAGTGTCCAAGGTGCCACCAACAGAGCCAGGCTTTCCTCTTGCCAACAACAAACATTAGGACCTCTTTTATTTTTGCCAAACTGATGGGCATAAAACATCTCATCAGCCACTGGTTCCCCACACTGCAGGGTGGTATCCTTGGACAGTCTGCTCACCTGGAAAGAGGCACTGGTCCCCCCTGGCTGTATGGTGTACACACACCACTGTGAGCCCAGGGTCATCCACCCAGATCTAAGAGTTGTCCTCTGTCAGGAATGCAGAGCCAGGCCGGGTTGGCCTCTGAAAAGATGCAGCAGATAATTTGCCAGCCTTGTGCTGGCAGCCAGCTGCCACTGCTCATCTCAGGACACACCTGTCCCCTCTTCTAAGTGGCAGCGCCTTGGTTCCCTGGATGGCTTCTGCCCTGCCCTCCCTAGCCCTGACCAGAGCTTTAACTGCATTTGTCCCACTGCCTGGATACCTCTTGTCCATGAGTCTGATGTGGACCATACCTGCTGTCCTGGCTCTCCTTGCCTTCCCCAAGCCCATGTGCCCTCCTGATAAGCAGCTAGGGAGGCCTGTCCTACTGATGACCTGACTGGGCCCCTAGGGCGTTCCTGGGCAGGGAGGCACAGACTGGATGGGGTCCTACTTCACATGCCCCACCAGCCAAGAGCTTAGGGGCCCAGCAACACTGCCTACAGCTGTGGAGCTAAGACCCCAGGCGAGGGCAGACTCCATAGCCCTAAAGGCCCCAGGCCCACCTCTGGAGTTACTGAGGCCTA